GGCTGGATAGCCACACTTGGAAATGTTTCATTCATGGCTGGGTAGCCACAAAGTTTCATGGCTGGAAAGCCACACTTGCAAGTGTTTTTTACTGCTCATGGCTGGATAGCCACACTTGGAAATGTTTCATTCATGGCTGGATAGGCTTTTACTGCTCATGGCTGGATAGCCACACTTGGAAGTGTTTTTTGTTGCTCATGGCTGGATAGCCACACTTGGTAATGGCAATACTTTTGCATAGGCAGGATGCCACCAGCCTGGAAAGGCATTTTCCCAAGCTTGTTAGAGAGATCTTGCAAGAGGTGTGCCAGCCATGCCGACCATGAAGAAGCCAGCAGCTGACAAGGGCAAGGGCATGTACAACACAGTGAAAAGGCCAGCAGCCGCCGCCTTGCCTGTGGACAGGGAAAAGAAGGCAAAACATGGAGAAGAAGAGCCAGAGGAAAGTGAAGCAGAAAGCCAGGTTCAGCCACCTTCTTTGACAGAAGAAGCTTTGCGCAACCACCAGAGGTTTTTGAAAGAGATGTCCAAGTTCAAAGACATGTCCCAGGATGGTTTTGAAAAGGCTCTTGAAAAGCTCCCAACATCAACCAGGGAACACCTGTGGAAAGCCTTTGAGGCATCCAGGAAAGAGACTGGTACTGAGAAGGAATACAAAGATGCTTGCTCAGGGGCTGGAGCCCTCAGGAAAAAGAAGGCTTTGTTGAGAGGGTGGGTGCTGGACAAAGGCACTATTGGTCAATGCTACAGGCAAAGCATCACCACAATCAGCATGAACTACAAAGAAGGGTTGGAAGAATCCTGGTTCACAAAGCAAGAAGCTTTGCAGAAGTGGGGGCCAGAGGAATTGAAAGAGCGCCTCAAGAAAGGCACCATAGAAGCTCGAAGGAACCCCTTGGACAAGACCTACTTTGAGTTCAAGTCTGTAGTTCACAAGAAGAGCAAGATGGCTGAGAGAAACAAGGTTGCTTCCTATGGGACCAACCAGCTCAAGGCCAGGCAAATGTCATGGCTGTTGCTCACATGTTCTGGCAATGGCTGCTTGCATGGCTGGATAGCCAACATTCCAATTGTTATGGCTGCTGTTTTCAATTGTTCTGGCAGTCTCTGCAATCACTGCATGCATGGCTGGATGACCAAAAGCAAATGTCATGGCTGCTTGCATGGACATGTGTCATGGACACAAATGTTCTGGCAGTTTCTAGAATGGCTGCTTCTATGGCTGGATAGCCAACATGCTGCCTAACAGGTCGAGCGCAAGAAGTTGGAGGCCATGGAAGCCCTCAAGCTTGAGAACCTGCAAGAAGCAGACTTTGAGTTAGGAGGTGGATCTGAAGACTGTTCTGATGATGATGATGATGATGATGATGATGATGATGAGAGCATGGACCCAGACCTCAACAAGACCCTGGGGATCAAGGATGCCAAAGACAAAAAACCAAAGAAAGAGAATGTTTGGGAAGTGGCCAGCAAGGTGGCTGAAGAAGACCAAGTGCCAGACTTAAAGGGCAAGTTCATCAAGTTCAAAGCTGAGCTGGGGAAAGATATGAACACAGTGGAACTGAAGGTCCATGACTTGAGGGAGAAGAAAGAAGCCAAAGGGCTGGTAAAGGAAGCTTTGGCTGCAGTGGGGAGGTGCAAACCAATCGTGGCCAACTTGGAAAAGAAGCTCAAGGGCAAGTTCACTCGCTCAGAGGCAAAGAGTGATTTAGAAAATGCTTTCAAAGCCTTGGGCATTTTGAAAACTGTGAAAGCACAGGTCTTCAAAGCCTTGAAGGATTAACAATGGCTGGATAGCACACCTGGGAAAAGAAATGTCGCCTTGTTTGGTCTTCATGTTGCAGGTGGCTGGATAGCCAAAAAGCATCACTTGCCTAATGTGGCTGAATTATATTTATATATATATGTTGCAGAAAGTTGCACATTTTTGTAGCCAAGAAGTTGCTATTCCAATTCCAAGCTGGCTGGATAGCCGCTTGAAACAATACTCCAAGGTGGCTGGGACAGCCAGAAGCCGGCAAATGTCAAATATGGCTGGATAGCCATGTACAGCTTGAACAACTTCAAATGAACAGGTTGATTTGCAAGATTTTTGCTCCACAGCTTTGGGGTAGTTTGCAATGGGTAAGCGTGGTGGCCACAAGCAAAGAAGGCTGGGGCAGCCCACTTCCACACCTCCCAAGGACCATGTGGAGAGCCCGTTGGCATTGCTCCTTCTGAGGAAGTGGAGTACAGGTGAAATGTCAGCTCCTGCCATCCAGGAAATTGCTAAAGCTGCTGCTGACAGTGGCTGCCAATGCCATGATGTGAAGAGGTTGGCTATGCTTGGGGCAGCTGGGCACAGCCCACAAAACATCCAAAGGGATTTGATGGTGCTCCATTTCAAGAACATGATGGTGCCAAAGGTCCACGCAGGGGAGACTGTCATTGTAGCAAAGGACAAAGATGGACAAAAAATCTCGAAGTCTATTGTTCTTCCAGTCCTGCTTCCACATGAGTGGCTGGCCATGGCACAAGAGACTGACGCTTTGTTAGCAGCAAGTGGTACCTGCAATGGCTGGATAGCCACCTAAATCCCAAGTAGGCTGCTTTCAAAGTTCCAAGGACATGGAGGCCATCCTTGGCATCGCAGAGTTGGGCCAGTTTTGGGAATTGCAAGATTTGAGCTGCCCAAGGCTTGCCTCTGCCAAAAACTTCCTGCACTTAGGCAGCAATGGGCTCTGGCAAGCAAAATGGTTGGATAGGCAAAATGGCTGGAGAGCTAAAATGCTTGGATAGCCAAAATGGCTGGATAGCCAAAATGGCTGGATAGCCAACATGTTGCCAGAGTATACAAATTCTTTTTGGTCAATGGGCTGTGGCAAGCAAACAGGACTGAGCGCACCCAGTTTGTTTGAGGAAATCCTTCAAGAACATGAAGAAGGATGCTCCTTTGTGCTTTGCTCTGCATGGGGATGCAGCCCCCCCCCACACAGAGAGTGACAGCCTCATGGTCGTCTCTATGAGGAGCATGACCACCAAGAGACCTGTGGGAGAATCGCAGCTGTTGCTCTTTGCTTTGCCTAAATCCATGCTTGCCAAGGAAACATTGAAACCAATTTGGGAAGTTATCTGCTGGAGCTTAGAGGCTATGGTGCAGGGAAAATGGCCTAGCAAAGCACCTCCCCACTGCAGTTCTTACAAACTCACAAATGCTGGCGAGCTTCTGATGGAGTCTGGGAAAAGGGGTATGGTGCCTGGATCATAATGCTGGTTGATGTTTTAGACATGTATAATAGGTATATGGCATGGCTGGAAAGCCACATTTCCTTGCATTTGTCTCAGGTCTATTGCATCACAGGTGAGTGGGAATGGTATTGCCAGGAATTTGGTTTTCCATATGCCATGGAGGACCACCCTTGTGCATGGTGCTCTGCAGATATGCATGATGAGATACCATGCTTTGATTTCCGCACCTGTGCCACCTGGAGAGGGCATGTTTACAGCTCAGATGAGATGAACAGAAAGTACAAACACCCTTTGTTCAAAGTCCCTGCTTTGAACAGCCAGTGCATCTTCTTGGATGTTTTGCACAGCATTGACCTTGGGGTGAGCTGCCATGTGTGTGGCAGTGTGCTGTGGGATTTGATAGAAGATGAAATGCCACAATCGAACAGACCTGAGAGGTGTGTGGCTGTCAACAGGCTGGTGGTCGAGATGTACAATGCCCTGGGCACTCCAGCAAACATGAGAGTTGGGGTGCTGAAGCTCACAGACATAAGGGAAAGTGCTAAAGAATTTCCTTGCTTGCTTGGTGCCAGTGATCAAAAAGCTGCCTGGCTCGTTGGAATGGCTGGATAGCCGAAAGAACAATAGCAAAAATGGTTGGATAGCAAGCGCAATAACAAAAATGGCTGGATAGCCATACCAACTTTGAGAATATTGACTGCACCCACAATGGCTGGACAGCCACAACACTCAGGCTATGTGAAAAATTTCCAGGAGGAAGCTGGGGCCAACACAGACTGAAAATGGTTACTTCTTTGGACAGCATGCTGCAAATGCTGGACCTCCACCTCTACAAGTTCCCTGAAGATTTAGAGAAGAAATTCAGCGCAGAGCTCCACAACTTCCTTCTCCACTATGGCTGGGTAGCCAAGGAGGCTGGCAAACTTGGACTTCTGAGATATTCTATGGTGCAAAAGCACCATCTCACTGCACATCTGGGTGTTTTTGCTAAAAGCTGCCACCCAAATGCTTTTGGACCTATGGCAGTGAAAGCTTCATGGGCCACATGGTGAAAATAGGTAGTGCCTCTGTAAGGGGGCAGGCTGCACCAAAGGCTGCAGAAAACATTTTGCAGAAGTACAGGCTCAGCATGCATCTGATCCTAAGTGGTTTGCTTGTCTTGGAAGATGAATCTGGCTGACATGGCTGGAAGCCAAAAAGAATTCGTGCTCATGGCTGGTATATGGCTGGATAGCCAGAAATATATTTGATGCTGATCATGTGGAAAATTTGTTTGGATAGCAAGAGTACACATGAACATGGAACCTGTGGCTGGATCATTTCTTTTTGTTCTAAATTCAGATTTCTATTAATGAAAAATTCTATTGATTTTTAATGCTATTTTCTATTGATTTTTAAGGACAATTTCTATTGATGTTTAAGGACAATTTCTATTGATTTTCTTGTGTTGTTTTTTGGTTTTCTATTGATTTTTATTGGATTCCTATTGGTTTTCATTCTATTGAAAAAAACTCGATTCTATTGATTTCGGAGCAAAAATCAATAGCGATGGAAAATGACATTTCCTATTGAAAAAAATTGGGTGGAGAGAGTAAGGGTAGTCGTAGTCGTAGTCGTCGTCGTCGTCGTCGTCGTCGTAGTAGTAGTAGTAGTAGCAGTAGCAGTCGCAGTCGTAGTCGTAGTCGTAGTCGTAGTGGTAGTGGTAGTAGTAGTGGTAGTGGTGGTAGTAGTAGTAGTGGTAGTAGTAGTAGTAGCCGACGGTCGTTGATCAGCCGGCCGGCCGGCTCCATCCCCTCCTCCTCCTCCGCCTCCTCCTCCAGACCTCAACCGCAAGCGCAGGATGGCAGTGTTCCCGGCTGGACCTCAACCGCCCCCCGCCGGACCTCAACCGCGAGCTCCGGCTGGCAGTGTTCCCCGCCAGACCTCAACTGCGAGGGTCGCGTGGCAGTGTTCCCCGCCGGACCTCAACCGCGAGCTTCGGCTGGCAGTGTTCCCCGCCGGACCTCAACCCCGAGGAGGACGAGGACGGCAGCTGACATAAAACCCTCACCTGACAGGTGCGCAACAAATGTCAGAAGATGCGCCAGTATGCCGCAATATAGCTTCAATACATGATACATGCCGGAAAATTTGTCAGGTTGAAATGTCATAGTGGTGGTCGCTCGAAGTAAAGTATTTTTTCACGGTGTCGATCTAGGATCTTGTCCATCACCGTCATGCGGGCTCCAAAAGTGAATGAACATCATCATTGCTGCTTGTCGGCAACTCCTGTTAGGTGAGAATCCAGAACACTTGGACAACGTAAGACAGCGCGGGCAACCCGGCCTGCTATTTCGCGACCAGCCGGCCGGCCGGCTGGCCAAATAGCGGCCGGCGGCCAAGTAGTAGTAGTAGTAGTAGTAGTAGTAGTAGTAGTACTTGTACTAGTACTAGTAGTAGTAGTAGTCGTCGTCGTCGTAGTAGTAGTGGTCGTAGTCGTAGTCGTAGTCGTACCCTTACTCTCCACGACCAATTTTTTCAATAGATCTATTGATTTCAAAGGAAAGATCAATAGCGATGGAAACAGCTAGTTTCACAATGTTTTTCAATAGAAATGCTGAACTTGATAGCACAATTTCTATTGATTTTTAATGGCAACAAATCTTGATTTTCTATTGATTTTTAAGAATGATTTCTATTGATTTTCAATGGTGATTTCTATTGATTCTAGATGAGATTTCTATTGATTTTCAATGGTGATTTCAAAGGTTGTTCTATTGATTTTAGATGTGATTTCTATTGATTTGCAATGGTGATTTCAATTGTGGTTCTATTGACTTCAAAATTGGTTTGCTTTGCTTGTGTCATGGCTGGGTAGCCATTAATGTAAATAGTAGGGCTGGAGAGCCAAAGCTGTGTTTGCTTTGTTTGTCGATGGCAGGGATGCCAAAGGGATTTGTGAAAAGGCTGTCAAGCAGCTCTTGGCTGGTAAAGCTGCTGACCAAGTCAAGCAGTGGGCCAAAGAACAATAAGAAGAAGGCTGGGCAGCCTGAAAAATAACACCATTCTTGAAACATGGCTGGGTAGCCACACTTGGAAGTATTTCATTCATGGCTGGACAGCCACACTTGGAAGTGTTTCATTCATGGCTGGATAGCCACACTTGGACGTGTTTTTCTGCTCATGGCTGGATAGCCACACTTGGTACCTAATGGTAACTAGAACAACCATGGGTCGATATAGTGATCACAAGTGTTTTGGCCCAAATCTAAGCAACCCACCCTTAGCACAAGCCATGGCAGAGTCTCAGTCTTATGAGCTTGATGCGGTGCCTGCAACCCAGCTAGACCCAGAGGATGTGCTGCCTCCAGCTGATGATGTGGAATCGAACAAAAAGAGGAAAAAGGAAGAGTTCCAGCAAGGTGACCCAGATCGACTGAAGTGGGTGGGGGACCTGTGCTTTGTGCAAGAGGCCTGGATGGATTGATCTACTGCGGTCATGACAGGATGTTTCTGTCAGGCAGCATAAATAAAATTTGTTGCCTGACATGCAATTGCAGGGGCAGCTGCTCATGC